AGGATATGGGGTTCTGTGAGACATTCAATATGCAATAAAGCCCATAAGTAAAGCAGTGTGACATAGATCCATAAAGAGCAGACAGATTAATAGAACAGAACATCCAGAAACAGATACACTTACATTTAAAAGTTTACTATAACAGGAAAGTGGGATTTCAAATCATCAGGGGAAAAGAAAAACTTTAAAAAACTGAATAACTGAGTGACCCTATGGAAAAAAAGAAGAAATTGGATTCTTTTTTCATGTATCATGTCAATTACAAAAGGATAAGAGATTTCAATGTAAAAAAAATGGAATCACATGTACAGTAAAAGAAAACACAGATGAAATTCCTATATAATTTGGCATAAATTTAAAATTCAGAAACAGTGAGAATAAAATTTGATATGTTTGAATAATAAAAATTTTAAAAAGTAATTTTCAGGGCAACACCATAAAACAAAGTAATGACAAACTAGGAAAAGATATTTGCAACTTATATTGCAGAGAAAGCGTTTATATTCTTAATATCCAAAGAGCTTCTAATACTACAGAAGAAAATAACCTAGAGCCCTATGGAAAGATCAGAGTAATGTTTCATTCATAGAAAAATAAGTGCAAATGATTCTACACCACATGAAAAGATGCTCATAGCTACTGATATAAAAGAAATTCATATGAAAACTACGTGAAGATTCCATTTTTAACCCACCAGATTGGCAAAGTCCTAGTTTTAACAGTGTACTCTTTTGGCCAGGCTGTGGGGAGATAGGCACTCTTGTATATTGTTAGTAGCAATAATCTGATGAATCTGATGTGTACCACCTCAAATCAGTGAGGAAAAGATAAAGTAGAATCCACTTTTTTCAGACCAGACATCAGGAGTGGAATTCAGCAATGCCTAGAAAAGTTGTACATGTCTTCATCCTTCTCTGCAGCAACTGGAATTACATGAATGTATCCCACAGTTACACTGACAGAAGTTCTAAGAAACTTAGATGGCTGGGCATGGATTTCCATAGATGGAAATGCTGGCTCACGCCAGTAATTCCAGCATTTTGGGAGGATGAGGCGGGTGGTCCACGTGAGCTCAGGAATTTGAGACCAGCCTGGGCAACATGGTGAAACTCCATCTCTACAAAAAATACAAACATTATCCAGGTGTGGTGGTGCATGCCTGTGGTCCCAGCTACTTGGGAGGCAGAGGTGGGAGGATGGCTTGAGCCCAGGAGATGGAGGTTGCAGTGAGCCAAGATCATGCTGCTGCACACCAGATTGGGTGACAGAGCCAGACCTTGTCTCAGAAAAAAAAAAAAAGACATAGACAAAAGGCTGCTTATGCAGGACTCTGTAACAGCAAAAACTAGCAACTACCTAAACATCCATACATAAGGTTGACTATACTATGATATATCTCCACATTGGCATACCATGTAGCTACAAAAAAAGTAATGAGGAATATATCTATTGATATCTACATGGTTATGTCCAGTATGTGTGTGAAATAACAATAATGCAAGATAGAGAAAAGTGGGTATACTGTGCTGCCATTTAGCTGAGCAGGGGAGATATGGTTCTACATACCTTTCTGTATTACACAAATCACAAATAATGGGAGGATAGCTTACCTATGGAAGGGATAGAATAGAGAGGACAAGGATAAAAACTATACTTTTTTAAGAGCTTGTTTTTATAAATTTGATTTTAGCACCACAAAATTATTTTACACAATTATAAAGCAAATTTAAATTAAAATGGTCTTTAAAACTCAAAAATAAGATGAATCAAAGAAACTTTTAAATATATCTAGTTGGTTGCATAACCACACAGAAAGAAATATTCCAAGTGTCTTTAAAACACTGTAATTTGTATATCCCTAATGGAATATATTCTTAGATACAAAGTATATTTGCAAAACAAAAAGCAAAACTTAAGTTCTTTACAGTAATCATATTGTTGGAGGAGTGCTGGTATTTGCTATTCTAAATTGTTGTGGGTATGTTGTGGCTATAAAAACAGAGTCTGGGAATAATTATGTGATTCTCCAATTCTATCAGTTTGTGTATTATTGAGAACTGGGATTCACTGTAAGAGGAAAAAAATACGGATGTAAGACTGAAAGGGTTAAATGAAAGCCTTATAATTATGAATTTGGATTAGAAGTATTAGCATAAACTCATGATATGTTACATTTCCTTTAAAAACACAGAAATACACATATTTCCTAGTTTTGTTGACTAAAATGTCCTAGGAAAATAACGATGAACTCAGAAGTGAGGAGGAGCTCTAGAGCTGAGATTGTGATCCTGAAATACTGTATTTTATTAGGAGAAACCAGAACCCCTGGGAGAAATGGCTGAGCTTCTGCACAGCAAAAGAAACTATCATTAGAATGAACAGGAAAGCTACAAAATGGGAATAAATTTTTGCAATCTATTAATCTGACAAAGGGCTAATATCCAGAATCTATAAGGAAATTAAACAAATTTACAAGAAAAAACAAACAAGCCCATCAAAAAGTGGGCAAAGGATATGAACAGACACTTCTCAAAAAAAATTTGTGCAACCAACAAACATGAAAAAAAATCATCATCACTTGTCATTAGAGAAATGCAAATCAAAACCACAATGAGATACCATCTCACACCAGTTAGAATGGCGATTCATTAATAAGTCAGAAAACAGCAGATGCTGGAGAGGATGTGGAGAAATAGGAATGCTTTTACACTATTGGTGGGACTGTAAATTAGTTCAACCATTGTGGAAGACAGTGTGGCGATTCCTCGAGGATCTAAAACCAGAAATACCATTTGACCCAGCAATCCCATTACCGGGTATATACCCAAAGGCTTATAAATCATTCTGCTATAAAGACATATGCACACGTATATTTATTGCAGCACTATTCACAGTAGCAAAGACTTGGAGCCAACTCAAATGCCCATCAATGGTAGACTGGATACAGAAAATGTGACACATATACACCATGGAATACTATGCAGCTATAAAAAAGGGAGTTCATGTGCTTTGCACGGACATGGATGAAGCTGGAAACCATCATTCTCAGCAAACTAACACAGGAACAGAAAACCAAACATCACATGTTCTCACTCATAAGTAGTAATTGAACATGGGAACACATGGACACAGGGAGGGGAACATCTCACACTGGGGCCTGTCAGGAGGTGGGGCACTAGGGGAGGGATAGCATTAGGAGAAATACCTAATGTAGATGACAGGTTGATGGGTACAGCAAACCAGCATGGCATGTGTATACCTATGTAACAAACCTGCATGTTCTACACATGTACCCCAGAACTTAAACTATAATAATAATTTTTTTAAAAAGTCTGCCTACCCTGTGTGACAGGCCACACAGAGACCACGTGGAAGGCAAAGCCAGGAGGAGGGGCGCTGAAGCCACCTAGTGGGAGAGAAGGCCCAGGCCTCACCAGCATCCCAGCTGAGCCTAACCTTCCAGCCATCCACACCAAGGGCCCAACGTGGGGATGGACCAGCCTAGGCTTTCTAGCCCACCCAAACCCCAGACGATTTTTTCCCCAGCCAACATTATATGAAGCAGAGGAATAACTTAGTTAGAAAGACCCCTCCCAATAAAATGTTCAGTTTTTCTTTTGAGGGTAGTTTGTGATGCAGCAACAGAAAACCAAAATCACTGGGGTTTAATCATTCTTACACCACAAACTCCCAAGCTCCTGTGTGAGTTGACCCACCATCTAGATCGCCCTCCTCCACTGCCCCTTGCCCACACTGGCCCTACTGCTACCCCCATGCCTTGACTGACAGCACTCCTTCCCCTAGTTTTGGGGGGCTCTTGTGTTCCCCCAAAGAAGCAGAAGAAAAACTAAACAAGAGTAAAATAGCACAGGATGAAATTAGGAGCTCCAGTGATTAGACAAAAGGGAAAGATTAGAGGAGAGTGAGAAGGGTGAACAGGGGAAGTCTGCTCGGTGAATGTTAAGCAGTGAACCAACATATGGCACCTATTTCATGCATATTTATGCATATGGATTTATGGTAATGGTATGGCCCATATGGAGAAAGCTGTCCACCTGCCAATAGGTGTACTCCTCCGAAATGGCCAGATGTCGCTACCTAAACCCGGAGAGCAGTTTTGGAGCCATGAAAAGCCAACTCAGGTAGAAGTACACTTGCAAAGAAAGCCGTTACAAATAAAATTTCAAATTACCTCTGATTTTATGTTAGAAATACAAAATAATGAGACCAGGAGGTCTTCCAGGAAACACTAAGTTATTCTGAAGACCAGATGCCTACAAAGGCATGAGCGAGCAGTTCTTAGGCCCTCATGAAATATTTTTCTACATTTTAATTTTGAAAATTTCAAGTATATACAAATGCAAAAAAAGAATATCATAATGTCCCCCTAGTCCCTGCCTCTGGGGGTCAGCAATTACCCAACCCACTTCCCCATTTTTCCATATTATTTTGAAGAAAATCCAGGACATTGTATAATTTTATTCAGAAATGTTTCAATATGTGTCTTTAGAACATGAGGATTGTTTTAACCTATTGTGCCTAAAAATTAACAATAATTCTTTCATATTGTCGTACTGCCAGCCAGTGTTCCTATCTCTAATTGTCTCATAAATGTTATTTTCTCAATGATTTATTAGTTTATATCAATATCCAAATAAAGTCCATGTACTGTGATTGGATGATGTATTTCCTAAATCTCTTTTGCCTATAGATATTTTGCCTCCATCTCTTTTTGTTCCATGCAACTTATTTGTCAAAGAAATAGGTTGTTTGTCCACAGATAATTCACAATTTGGAGTTTCCTGATTATATCCCCAGGGTGTTGTTTTATATGCTTTTTTATCCTTCGTATTTTCATAAATTGGTATTTGGATCTAAAGTTCTGACTACATTGGGGTGTTTTTTCTCCCCTTCTTCCTCCTTCTCTTCTGCAAGACTGCTTGATCAGGAATGTGTGTTTTTCCATTAGGTTACCCATAATGCGTTTGTCTCTCTTTTAGTGATGACAGCAGCCACTGACGATCAGCACTTAGACCCACTAATTCATTAGGAGCTACACAATGGTAAGTAGCATTCTGATGTCATATGCCTTCTTGATTTATAAACTAAAATGCTTTATAAAGAGAAACTTTGCCTGCCAAGTGGCACACATTGCATGAGAAAGCCAGGGAAAATGCTTGGTTCCCTTTATTTACTCATTTTCTACTAACGAATTGGTTTACTTTTCTTCTCCAAGATTAAACATATGTGTGTTTTTTCAATGAGGTTACAAATGCATGGATTTAATTCCATTTTATGTGTTTAATCCATTGTAGCTAATATCTCCCCTTTGGCTGATGGGACCCTATTCAAGATGGCTTCTGAGTTTTGCCATGACCTTGGTAGTAGTTGTTAGTCATTAAATTAGATCTCATTGTCAAATTTGGCTTTTGTTACCATTGCTTTTGTTGTTTTAGTCATAAAATCTTTGCCCATGCCTATGTCCTGAATGGTATTGCCTAGGTTTTCTTCTAGGATTTTTATGCTTTTAGGTCTTATGTTTAAGTCTTTAATCCATCTTGAGTTAATTTTTGTATAAGGTGTAAGGAAGGGGTCCAGTTTCAGTTATCTACATATGGCTAGTCATTTTTCTCAACACTATTTATTAAGTAGGGAATCCTTTCCCCATTGCTTATTCTGTCAGGTTTGTCAAAGATCAGATGGTTGTAGATGTGTGGCATTATTTCTGAGGCCTCTGTTCTGTTCCATTGGTCTATATATCTGTTTTGGTACCAGTACCATGCTGTTTCAGTTACTGTAGCCTTGTAGTATAGTTTGAAGTCAGGTAGCATGATGCCTCCAGCTTTGTTCTTTTTGCTTAGGATTGTCTTGGCTATACAGGCTCTTTTTTTGGTTCCATATGAAATTTAAAGTAGTTTTTTTCTAATTCTGTGAAGAAAGTCAATGGTAGCTTGATGGGGATAGCATTGAATCTATAAATTCCTTTGGTCAGTTATGGCCATTTCCATGATATTAATTTTTCCTATCCATGAGTATGGGATGTTTCCATTTGTTTGTATCCGCTCTTATTTCCTTGGGCAGTGGTTTATAGTTCTCCTTGAAGAGGTCCTTCACATCCTTTGTAAGTTGGATTCCTAGGTATTTTATTCTCTTTGTAGCAATTGTGAATGGGAGTTCACTCTTGATCTGGCTGTCTATTATTGGTGTATAGGAATGCTTGTGATTTTTGCACATTGATTTTGTATCCTGAGACTACTGAAGTTACTTATGAGCTTAAGGAGATTTTGGGCTGATATGATGGCATTTTCTAGATATACAATCATGTCATCTGCAAACAGAGACAATCTGACTTCCTCTCTTCCTATTTGCATACTTTTACTTCTTTCTCTTGCCTGATTTCCCCGGCCAGAACTTCCAATACTATGTTGAATAAGAGTGTTGAGAGAGGGCATCCTTGTCTTGTGCTGGTTTTCAAAGGGAATGCTTCCAGCTTTTGTACATTCAGTATGATATTGGTTGTGGGTTTGTCATAAACAGGTTTTATTATTTTGAGATACGTTCCATCAATACCCAGTTTATTGAGAGTTTTTAGCATGAAGGGGTGTTGAGTTTTATCGAAGGCCTTTTCTGTATCTATTGAGATAATCATGTAGTTTTTGTCATTGGTTCTGTTTATGTAATGGATTACATTTATTGATTTGCATATGTTGAGCCACCCTTGCATCCCAGGGATGAAGCCAACTTTATCGTGGTGGATAAGCTTTTTGATGTGCTGCTGGATTCGGTTTGCCAGTATTTTATTGAGGATTTTTGCATCAATGTTCATCAGGGTTATTGGCCTGAAATTTTCTTTGTGTGTGTGTGTCTCTGCCAGGTTTTGGTATCAGGATGATGCTGGCCTCATAAAATGAGTTAGGGAGAAGTCCCTCATTTTCTATTGTTTTGAAAAGTTTCAGAAGGAATGATATCAGCTCCTCTTTGTACCTCTGGTAGAATTTGGCTGTGAATCCATCTGGTCCTGGGCTTTTTTGGGTTGGCAGGCTATTAATTACTGCCTCAACTTCAGAACTTGTTATTGGTCTATTCAGGGATTTTATTTCTTCCTCGTTTAGTCTTGGGAGGGTGTATGTGTCCAGAAATGTATCCATTTCTTCTAGATTTTCTAGTTTATTTGCATAGAGATATTTATAGTATTCTCTGATGGTAGTTTGTATTTCTGTGGGATCAGTGGTGATATCCCCTTCATCATTTTTTATTTTGTCTATTTGATTTTTCTCTCCTTTCTTCCTTGTTAGTCTGGCTAGCAGTCTATCTATGTCGTTAATATTTTCAAAAAACCAGCTCCTGGATTCATTGATTTTTTTGAAGGGTTTTTTTTCTTGTCTCTATCTTCTTCAGTTCTGCTCTGATCTTAGTTATTTCTTGTCTTCTGCTAGCTTTTGAATTTCTTTGCTCTTGCTTCTCTAGTTCTTTTAGTTGTGATGTTAGGGTGTTGATTTTAGATCTTTCCCACTTTCTCCTGTGGGCATTTAGTGCTATAAATTTCCCTCTAAACACTGCTTTAACTGTTTCCCAGAGATTCTGATACGTTGTATCTTTGTTCTCTTTGGTTTCAAATAACTTAATTATTTCTGCCTTAATTTTATTATTTACCCAGAAGTAATTCAGGAGCAGGTTGTTCAGTTTCCATGTAACTGTACAGTTTTGAGTGAATTTTTAAATCCTCAGTTCTAATTTGATTGCACTGTGGTCTGAGAGACTGTTTTATGATTTTTGTTCTTTTACATTTGCTGAGAAGTGTTTACTTCCAATTTGGGGTCAATTTTAGAATAAGTGTGATATGGTGCTGAGAAAAACGTATATTCTATTATTTGGGGTGGAGAGTTCTGTAGATGTCTATTAGGTTTGCTCGGTCCAGAGCTGAGTTCAAGTTCTGAATATCCTTGTTAATTTTCTGTCTCATTGATCTATTAGGTCTGCTTGGTCCAGAGCTGAGTTCAAGTCCCGAATATCCTTGTTAATTTTCTGTCTCATTGATCTGTCTAATATTGACAGTGGGATGGTAAAGTCTCCCACTATTATTGTGTGGGATTATAAGTCTCTTTTCAGGTCTCTAAGAACTTGCTTTATGCATCTGGGTGCTCCTGTATTGGGTGCACACATATTTAAGATAGTTAGCTCTTCTTGTTGCATTGATCCCTTTACCATTATGTAATGCCCTTCTTTGTCATTTTCAATTTTTGTTGGTATAAAGTCTGTTTTATCAGAGACTAGGATTGCAACCCCTGCTATTTTTTGCTTTCCATTTGGTTGATAAATATTCCTCCATCCCTTTATTTTGAGCCTATGTGTGTCTTCGCACTTGAGATGGGTCTCCTGAATACAGCACACCAATTGGTCTTGACTATCAAATTTGCCAGTCTGTGTCTTTTAATTGGGGCATTTAGCTCATTTACATTTAAGGTTAATATTGTTATGTTTGAATTTGATCCTGTCATTATGATGCTAGAGGGTTATTTTGCCCATTAGTTAATGCAGTTTCTTCATAGTGTTGACGATCTTTACAATTTAGTATGTTTTTGCAGTGGCTGGTACTGGTTTTTCCTTTCCACATTTAGTACTTCCTTCAGGAGCTCTTGTAAGGTAGGCCTGGTGGTGACAAAATCCCTCAGCATTTTCTCGTCTGTAAAGGATTTTATTCCTCCTTTGCTTATGAAGCTTAGTTTGGCTGGATATGAAATTCTGGGTTGAAAATTCTTTCCTTTAAGAATGTTGAATATTGGCCCCCACTCTCTTCTAGCTTGTGGGGTTTCTGCAGAGAGATACGCTGTTAGTCTGATGGGCTTCTCTTTGTGGGTAACCTGACCTTTCTCTCTGACTTCCCTTACCATTTTTTTCCTTCATTTCAACCTTGGTGACTCTGACAATTACGTGTCTTGGGGTTGATGGAGTATCTTTGTGGTGTTCTCTGTATTTCCTGAATTTGAATGTTGGCCTATCTTGCTGGGTTGGGGAAGTTCTTCTGGATAATATCCTGAAAAGTGTTTTCCAACTTGGTTCCATTCTCCCCATCACTTTCAGATACACCAATCAAACACAGATTTGGTCTTTTCACATATTCCCATTTTTTTTAGGCTTTGTTCATTCCTTTTCATTCTTTTTTCCCTAACCTTGTCTTCATGATTTATTTCATTAGGTTGATCTTCAATCTCTGATATCCTTTCTTCTGCTTTATTTATTTGGCTATTTATACTTGTGTATACTTCACGAAGTTCTCATGCTGTGTTTTCCAGCACCATGAGATCATTTATGTTCTTCTCGAAACTGGTTATTCTAGTGAGCAATTCCTTTAACCTGTTTTCTAGCTTCCTTGCATTGGGTTAGAACATGCTCCTTTAGCTCAGAGGACTTTGTTATTACCCACCTTCTGAAGCCTACTTCTGTCAATTTGTCAAACTCATTCTCCATCCAGTTTTGTTCCCTTGCTGGCAAAGAGTTGTGATCCTTTGGAGGAGAAGAGGCATTCTGGTTTTTGGAATTTTCAGTGTTTTTGTGCTGGTTTTTCCTCATCTTCATGTATTTATCTATCTTTGGTCTTTGATGTTGGTGACTTTTGGATGGGGTTTTTGTATGGACGTCCTTTTTGTTGATGTTGATGCTATTCCTTTCCATTTGTTAGTTTTCCTTCTAACAGGTCCCTCTGCTGCAGGTCTGCTGGAGTTTGCTGGTGGTCTACTCCAGACCCTGTTTGCCTGGGTATCACTGGTGGGAGCTGCAGAACAGCAAAGATTGCAGCCTGTTCCTTCTTCTGGAAGCTTTGTCCCAGAGGGGCACCCATCAGATGCCAGCTGGAGCTCTCCTGTATGAGGTGTCTGTTGACCCCTGCTGGGAGGTATCTTTCAGTCAGGAGGCACCAGGGTCAGGGACCCACTTGAGGAGGCACTCTGCCCGTTAGCAGAGCTCAAGCTCTGTGCTGGGAGATCCGCTGCTCTCTTCAGAGCTGGCAGGCAGGAACATTTAAGTCTGCTGAAGCTGCATCCACAGCCATCCCTTCCCCCAGGTG